TTAAGGTTAGTGTAGTTATGTAGGTAAATAGGTAGTTTAATGATTGACAATTGTTGTAAATAAGAATGATTCCATTTTTAAATACGCCGGAAATACCAAGATAGGTAAACAGTTCATATTATTTTTCGTGTCAAGGTCACATCATTTACCTAGTCAATAAATTGGTTGCTTAAACGAAAGAAATATCTTGGTATTTTTGCCTGTCCTAAGCCAGGATTAAAGTATGAAGGGAATTGGATCATTTTTGTTTATCTAAGGTCTAACACGCGGCGGCGCGCGGCGTTTGGATGTAGGTAAACTACCGCGCGATAACTACATATACCTACGTACATAACTGTACGTACGTACCTACGTACATACCTACGTACATACTTAGAAGTTTATTAATATTTATGTTATATTAATTTTTATTTTGTCATATATGATCGTCAAATATCACGTCCTCAAATATATATATATATATATATAATTCTGAGCGATATATATATGTATCGCTCAGAATTAGATTTTCGTCATATCAAACAATTTTTGAGCTACAAGAAATGATAAATCACTATATATATGTAAGTCATCAAGTGACTGATGAAGTGAAAATTTATCAGTTATTGAGTAGCATCAAATATTTATAAAACTTGTATTAAAAATAGGGGTTGGTGATAGAAGAGTGATAATTTAGGGTTGTATGTATTTTAAAATGCCACATTATGAAAAGGTTGTCCAAAAAAAATTAAAGAAGGTGTTAAAAGTGGGCCGCCCTTAGGGGTATGAAATATAGATAGTAGCCAATTGTTACAATTATTGAATATGCATATAAAGTTTCATAAATCGGTTAAGCCATTTGGCAGGAGTATGACATCTAATATATATATATATATATATATATATATATATATATATATATATATATATATATATATATATATATATATATATATATATATATATTCTGCTGACAAAGACTAGTATATGTGTGTTATAGGAATATATAAATAGGATATCCTCTAAAAATTTGTGTGTCTAATGTCTATCCTTAGACATGAATATCTGGCTGAGAGCGCGAGTTGGAGGAATGGGTTGCGGAGCAGCAAGTAGCCGCCTCCAGTGAAGACTACGGACAGGACTATGAACACTTACTGGTGAGTAACGATATGATGATGATGAGAGGGTACTCCAGCCATCACACTTGGTGATGGAGACATTATTCAGTTACATCTTCAAATACTAAGCTTTGAAACTTCACGGAAATCCGTTCAGCAATCCTATTTTTAGAAACTAACGAATAAATGCTAAATTTAGTTGAAATTTAAGCCAATTTGAGCATTTAGTACGTAATTTAGTGTTTTTTTTTATTTTTTGTATCTCAGAAGGATGTGCAAAGATTAGCATGTCATAATATTAAATATACCTAAATGTTTACAGCTTAATTAAAATATGCTCCAAAACCATTTAATTATATCTATAATCTAAGACATCATATTTCCCTAACCACAGATCCTTAGGTCCAAGTTCGAAGAGCTCCGTCACCGTGTAGAGAGTGGGGCGGAGAGGTTCAACCAGTGTGAGGAGCTGGCCAAGAAGCTGGTCGCCTCAGACAGCCCATACATCGCTGACATTGAAAAGAGACAGGAAGTGCTCGGGTGAAGGGAACTCGGAAAATGACCCTTAATTACATAACATATAGGATCTTATTCAGATATCCAATATGTCCACATAAACTTATACCAAACAAAATTAGTTTTAACCATACATACAGATATAGAATCTAAATAAGACATACCACAAATGCAAATAAAAATGAGACTTAATTACATACACATAGAAACTAATTCAAAAAATCCACATGTCATTTAAAACAAGGCAGAGTGAGACTTAATTCCATACATATAAGATCTAATTTACATAATCCACAACTCAAATACATACAATTCATACATTCCAGCGAGTCCTGGCCGGGGAGCGCCGGGCACGCCCTCTTGCGGGACCACGACGCAGCCGAGAACGATATGGTCGCTATAGACGCGCAGATGCAGGTACTACAAAACAATTATTATGGTTAAAGATACTTTATTTTTCTCAAAAAGAAATTACATTTCACTTACTTGAGAAAATTATGACGATAAACATATTATGTATTTTAAATTAAAACTTCGACAATCATAATAAATGTATCACTAGGTAGTTTAACATATTCTACAATAAATTTTGCTTTAAACATGAAATTTAAAATGTACACCCTCAAAGCAACAATAATTGTGTACAAAACAGTGATAAGAAATGCAAACTCATAGACACAGAGTAACTATTAAGATTGACTTAAAATGAAATCTAAGATTTTCGCGAGTATTCATTTAAATGAAACTAATATTTTTTGGATGAACGTTTTGATAAAAAACGACATATTTCGTTTACTTTACAGTATCATGATCACGGGCAGACGATATGATAAATATTAGTTTCATTTAAATGAATACTTGTCAAAATCTATTTCATAATATCATAGCTCCTCATTTAACCCTTAGCCACCTACCTACAAATTTTATTACACAATCACCTACCTCCCGTCTGGGAGACACCTGTACTCTAAATCAAAGATTTTTGTAAATTAGGATTCCAGTTAGAATGAAATATCTTTTTTACGTATTTGAATGTTTTATTAAAAGAAAATAAACATAAAGTGATCAACTATACCTACTATAAACTCAACTCAAATCAACAACACTTATACTTTGGCATTTTTAAGCCTTACTTACGTTGACTAAACTTACGTTTTTAGAAATATAAAAATAAATGTAAATAGGAACTTCAAAATAAACTTTTCTAATCTTTTAACATTTATTAAATATAGACATGAGACATTTAGAGAGAAAAAATAAAAAAATAAACAAAATTGCAGACTCTAAACCTACAGCTTTTCACGGCAGTCAATGCACAGCTTGTTCGAGCACTCGAGGCAGATTGGTCTCTTACATTCGAAACACATGTACTGGGTCCTGCGAATCTTTTTAGGATCACAGGTTGAGCATTTTTTTCGTATTGTGACTACTTCTTCACCACGTTTGGTACAAGAAATCACTGCTGGTTGACTGGTTACTTCGTCATAGTGAAGGATACGTCGAAGTGAAATTTTGATGTCACGCTGGAGATTCACATTTCACTCGCGGCGCTATGAGGTGTTGTAAGCTGTTTAGCTAGTCTACCATATTATGTTTCTTCTACAATATTATGTTGTAATGTTCTAGAACGAGAATCCTGGGGAGCTGATGACCAACGGTACCGGTTTTTACCAAAATAATTTGTTTTTCTCAGTCTTTACCGTATTTCAGATAATGGCACTTCATCTTCAGATGAACTCTGTGATTCGTCAAGCACATTGTGGGATGAAAGAGGTACCATACCTGCTTGTAAAGTAGTTTCTTCCTCGGCTTCAATTTCAGAACACGATCCTCTGCATTATTCCAGTACTATTGTACTCCAATTTCAGTGTCGTCATCGCTACACTCATCGTTCGGTATATTTTCTTCATCCGATATGTTATCTTCTAACCAGCGTTCAATAATGGAATCGTTTAAAGCCATTTTCACCTTAAGCCAATAAAAAAAAATTGTCACACAAACACCTACCATCCGTCTCTGAGACACTCGAAGATAGATTTTTACTTACCAGGAAAAAATGGCGCGCATCTCCGACCTCGATAAGTGCTTGCGCAACACTGATCGGTGCGGGGAAAAGGTACAGGAAAGCACAGGTTCATAAGACGCATACACAGCAAAATATTTACGACTTTAAAATAGCTTCCGTCTGTGAGACGGGAGGTAGGTGGTTAAGGGTTAATGTAGCCTAATTCTGCCTAAATAAGATTTTAACTGATTTTTGCAGTATTTTATAGTTGTAGTAATATACTTCCTAGCCCGGGCAAGTACCAATGTGACTTTACCGAGTCATATGTACTTTCTAAGAATATTTAGACATCACTGATTAATGCATACCCAACGAGGGTTGATGTCAGGCAGGCGGTCGGTCGTAAAAACAATTAGCCAAAACTATTCACAACATGTAAGGTAGACCCTGGCTAAAGCTGGGAAGTTGCCAGGTAGAAGAGATAGTTGTAGTGATATTAAATCAATTTCCAGGTGCTCCAGGAGGAAGTATCTCGCCTCCAGCGGTTATGCCCCGGCGGTAACTCCCAGCAGATAGCGCTCAGCTGCAGATCTTAGGAGGAAACTGCTGCACCAACACCTGGAATTATAGACCTTCCTATCCGAGGTATTACTGTGGGATTTCATTATTATACAAAACCTTTATGATCTGATAGTGTTTTAATATATTGCTACATTTGATTAATCTATCTAATTTATATATATTTTCTTTATATACTAATTAATAATTAACGATTTTACGCCTATAAATAACGTATCCTTTATGATATTTTATTTCCATTAAGACATTATTATCACTTATATGAGAATTACACTTATAACAAAAACATTTATGAATATACAGTTCGACATCGCACTTGTAACAAATATTAAATGAAATAACGTTTAATTAAGAGATATTTTTCTATATTAAGCACTAATTTAATGGTTGTCTTAGTTTTGATTATTTATTATTTAATATATACTATCTGCCCCGCAAACGTTGTTTTGTCATATCAAAAGTAGGGGTTGGTGATAAAAAATATAATATTTAGGATTTTATGTATTTTCTTATGACACTTGATAAAAAAATAAAAACAAAACCTTTCGTCCAAATCAAAACAAAATTTAGGGGTAAACAGCCCCTATTACTTAGGGTATGAAAAATAGGTGTTGGCCGATTCTCAGAGCCTCAGACCTACTCAATATGCTTACAAAATTTCATGAGAATCGGTCAAGCCGTTTTGGAGGAGTACGGAAACGAACATTGTGACACGAGAATTTTATATATAAGTTATATATATCATGAATATCGTTCCCCAGCTCGGTGAAGTCATCTCGTGGTCGTCATCCCTCCGCAGCGTGATGTCATCCCCAGCTGCCGCAAGCTCAGCAGCAGCTGAGGGCAGAGATAGAGGCGACGACGGGTTCAAGGACGTACTGGCCAGGGGGCAGAGGTTACTGGATGAGGAACGTCCCAGCTCAGCGGTTAGTACACACTGGAACAATAAGTGTTTATAGTTATTTTTTTATAACGTACTATCGATATTGCACGTGCATCACGAGTAGATTATAGTAAAAACAAAAAATATTAGTTACATTTCAATGACTACCCGCGAAAGTATATCTCATGAGATAAATATGTTCTGATATGTATAACCACAGGTAATTCTGGTTCATTAATCTCACTATTTAATACTAATTATTTCCAGGAGATCGAGGAGAGTTGCCGCACGGCAGGTGGCGTTGGAGCAGCTGTTCGACTGGCGCTGCTTCCTGAGAGACGCTAAAAGTGAAAAGAATATTTAAAAAAAAACGTAATGGAGTAGATCTTCATTTAAATCCACTTATACAATTTCACCAAGGATAAAAAAATATCCAAATACACTAGGAAATGTAAAAATGAAAACATAAAATAAAAAGGTTAAAACATGAAAGAAAATTAATCGAAATTAACATTTGTATATTTGTAATTTTATTATAATATTTGAAAAGGTTAATTTTCTTCTAAAAATAATCAGAATAATCAAAAATATTTATCGAAAAGTTATTACAAAACTATTGCGCCTATCTTAAGATAAAGTTGTTTAAAAACCTTTGTTTCATATAATTGTATACCGTTAATTGACGATCCAGTTAAAAAGTTGTATGTCTTCTTTGATCTGTATATACTTTATAAAATGAAATTAAGTTGTTATTTGGTGGAACAAAATATTTAAAATTAAATTTTTGAAAATTTGCAATAAAATAGTATTGAAAATATGTAATAGGTATGAACATAATGTAACAAAACTTTCTAAATGACTGCAAACAAAACACAAAAAGATTTTAACAAAATATGGGAGTTTCATACTTTCGGATTATCTCAATAATGAGCAAATGAACAAGCTTTATTTGTAACAGTAAAATGTTGAGAAAGAGATTATTTAAAAATTATTGATATTAATTAGTAGACAAAGGCTGTTTGAATACTATTTAATGTAAACCGAAACACCTAGCTTTCTATTAATCTATTACCTAACAAGTCTATTAATCTACCATTATATGTATATATCGGCGCTATCAACTTTAATAACGGATGCGAAATGAAAAAAATTTGAGGCTGTCATCTATTCTTATTAAAACCCATTAGTATTTATGATTATTGTTAAAAGTAAAACGAAATCAAAGATTGTTTAAAAAGAGAATAGAACTATGTACTGTTAAAATATATAATAAATACTGTTTAAATATTGGTATAAATATGACGTCTGGACGCACGACGGCAGAATTAAGAGTTCAGTGAGTGCGTATCATTGAAGTATGTAATTATGAAGAACCTTCGAGAAATACAAGAGCATTGAGAATAATTGAAGTTTCATTTTAAAATATCATGGAACGTACAAGAAGAAGTAACATTAGTAACGTCAGCGAGGCTCTCTTTAAAAACAACAAATTGTAATAAATCCGATATATGTATAAAATTATTCAACTTGTATATCTAATCAACTTCTTTTTCCTTCTTATCATCATAGAGATTTTTTTTGCTTTTAGTAATTTCAAGTCATGTATTTTTTAAATATGTAAGTACATTTTATTTGGATTATTTTTCACTTTACCTTTTCCATTTCAATCATATTTGGTATCTTATTGCTTAAACGAACAAGTTACTTTAACGTTTTACATAAAGTAATCCTCAAATGGACAAAAATTTCATTGTTTACATTTATTAATAATAGTAGAATAGCCATGGACATGATAAACCTGCTACTCTAAAATAAATAAACACTTGATCAGTTGTCTATAAAGGGCACAGTAGATTATCAATTAATATGAAAATAACAAACCTTTTTTTGAATTCACCAAGCTATTAAGTTAAGAATTATGTTGATTAAATATAATTCACATTGACATCTCATCTGCACTTGATCACGGTTGCTGCAAACAGTGGCGGCGTAAGGCGTGGGCGACGTGGGCCACCGCCTACGGCCTCGCGGTACAAGGGGCCTCGCGCCTCAAAAAATTATAAAGCGAGAATTAAAAAAAATCTTCTTCCTGGCAATTTCCCAGCTATTACCAGGGTCTGCCTTACATTTTGTGAATAGTTTTGGGCTTTTGTTTTTTACCTTTTTGGGAATCAGAATTAATTAAACCTATTTTGATAAGAATAGTGTATTCAATGTTATAATAATATTTAACGAATAAACAGATAGTGTTTAAGTATATTGATTTCCCCGAAAACAGTGACTTTTTTAATTGTTTTTGATTTCTTTGTGATTTGAAATACATCGGTACCTGTACTCGTCTATCTAGCTACTTAGCTGAAAATTGGTAGGGAGGTAGTTTAGAGCCAGGAAAATTACATAGGATGCTTTTTATCCCGTTCGACAGCATTCCCGTGTGACTTGAAATGAAACGTCAGTCACTATAAAACGTGGAATAACGAAAAATAATCAGACTTGGAATAACAAAACGCAATTGACAGCTATGTAATTGACGTATAATGACAGATATGTAATGACGTATAATGACAGATATGTAATGACGTAATGATGACAATTAGATATTTGTAAGAAATGTATATATGTATATAAAAATGAATTGCTCTTCTTGAGTCTCGAATATATCTCTGTTTTAAAACTCGAGAACGGCTGAACGGATTTATCTTATCTTAGTCTTGAAATGTTCGTGAGGTTCAGGAAAGGTATAAAAGCTGAAAAAAATTGATTCATTCGGGAAAACCCTAAAAAAGGCCCTTTTCTATTTCCCATACAAACTTTTTTTTTTTGACATTAGATGTGACAACTAACTAATATGTCAATCATTCTGTCGCACTTCAAAACACGGAGATTTATGGCTTACTACAGGTAAACTCCAAAAATAGAAATAAAAAAACATAACAGATATTTCTTGATTATAGAGCGATACGAAGTTCGCTGGGTCTTCTAGTTTTATATAAAGTAAGAAATATTTAATTGGTAATAACTAATAAGTATGTAACGCAGTAATTACTTTTATATAAAATACGCTTTATAATGTCTTTTGAAGGAAACCAAAGCTTTAAGGGTAAAAAACGTGTCTCCGTTTAAATTTTTAAAACTAGCAGGTAGTAAGAGCTTCAAGTTGCCATAGAATAGGGCCTCGCGAAATCTGCCTTGCCCACATTAAATTTAGATCTTGCCCCGCCACTGGCTGCAAAGTAACCGGAACGTCGGGAGTATGTAGATATAAAATAATAAAAAACGAGAAGTAATCCAAATAATATTAATTTCATTTAAATGAATACTCGCGAAAGTCTTAGATGTCATTAAGCAACATAATTGTTATTAAACCAATTATACCTAAATGAAGCATCAGCTTTTAAATTAAATATATGTATTATTTTATTAAAAACTTTCATTATTTCTACTTTAATTTTTTTATTGATGCAGACGGTTGATGAATAAGGCGTTTTACAGAGCAGCGAAGGACAAAGTGCTACATAAATTCTGGCAGACTTTAAATAAATTTTGTGCTGGATTTTTAACTTGTTTCTGATGCACTAAAATATCTATTTAATATTGCATTTAACGTCAGTGTTCTGAAGTCACATTAATATACGAGTGCATGATAATTCAGTGAATACTTGGAGCAACTTTAACCATGACATCGTTGTAATATATAGGTACCTATCGTCTGTTTTACTCTTAGTTTGTTGCATCGGAGACCTTCAGTAAATCACTATTTAATTTAGAATAATACATATTTGATTTTGAAAGTTTTACACTATACGTAAAATGTATAATTTCCTGAAGGTACGTTCCTATCGAATGATTATTATATTTAAACTCGTTGAACATTCGGCTTTAAAACTAAACGACTTTTTTATTTCCTCAATGTTTAACAAACTGTCACATGGGTCACAGGTCCTTGTAGTGGACACTTTGATTTAAACTGTAGTGGTCAATACGGTGACTACGATTGGTCTATCGAGAACGAAATTAAATGAAATTCTCGGAACATTCACGAATATTTTTTATAGACTGGAAACCTTTATTTTTTATGTGTTATGTGTTATTATTCATGATTCATTCATTTACTGATCGTGTCGACCTCGCCCTGAAGAAATTTATGAATTTAATGTTTTCAGTTAGTTCCGTGAGTGAAATAAAAACAGTATATATCTACCTCTTATCTATACTAATATTATAAAGCTGAAGAGTTTGTTTGTTTGTTTGAAAGCGCTAATCTCCGAAACTACTGGTTCGAATTGAATAGTTCTTTTTGTGTTGGATAGTCCGATTATCGAGGAAGGCTGTAGGCTATATAACATCACGCTACGACCAATAGGAGCTAAGATATAGTGGTAAATGTGTAAAAAACGGGAGAAATTATTTCATCTTTGAAGCCTTCCGCTGCGTGCGCCGACAAAACGGTTCAAGATACACAAAAAATATGTAGTAAAGAATAATATGTAGCTCTTTTAATGATCTAAAAAACAGTCCTGGACAGTATATGTCTATCTTTTAAGATTAACTCACAAAAACCGTTTTTATGGTACCTAATTTTGTCGAAATAATTTGTTTAAGTTGTATCAAAATAATAATATTAATATTTATTCATATAAACAAATAAATATGTTGTTGGTTAAGAGTACTTCATTATTAATAAAAAAAATATATAGGTTACATCCTGAAAGTTCTACGGGAACTCGACCATTCCGAAAACCCCGCAAGAACGGGAACTATGTGGGAAGAACCAAAAAATCTGTCGGAAGTAACTATTCCACGCGGACGAAGCCGCGGCAAAAGCTAGTGTATTATAACAGGATATAATAAAGCCGTAGATATTGAATTTAAAACACTTTCACTGGAATAGAAGATAATTTTTATAAATGTCATTTGGCATCAGTTGGGACAACAATAGGGCTTCATAGATATTCATGAAATACAACTCAACATTTTGTTTCGTATCCATAGTGCTGTACTTTCGATAAAATTTGTTTTTCAAAGAAAGGAATGATCTTTTAATAAATTACATTGGTCCGTTTGTCGATACAAGATATGAAAGCAGTTACAGATTATGTAACATAGTTCCGTTATTCTGTTCACATTACTGATGACTGTACGTACATATGTACGTATGACCTCCTTCTAAGATGTGTTCAACAAAAGGTAGGTATTACTATCTTAATGTCACTCCTTCACTCTTATAATTCATTTTCATGTGTACGTGAACTGACTGTTTATATTATTATCATAAGCAAAATATAATTAAGATTATTTTAAAATAAATGCTTTTATTAATAGTGCACTTCGGATTTAAATTTCAG